CCAATAGTCTGAGAAGGACAGGGACTAGCTCTTCCTTAAATGTTATGTAAAATTCTTTGCGAAACTGTCTGTTCCAGGGCTTTTGTGTGCTGAAAGTTTTTTGATAACTGCTTCAATTTCACCAGCTGTTATTGGTCTGTTCAGGCTTTCTGCTTCTTCTTCATTCAGTGTTGGAAGATTATATTTTTCTACAAATTTGTACATTTCATTGAGGTTTCAAGTTTCGTGGTGTATAATGGTTCATAGTAATTTCTTACAATACTTTGCATATCTGTATTATCAGATGTAATTTCTCCTCTTTCATTTCTGATATTATTTATTTACATCTCTCCCTTTTTTCTCCATGATTTGCTTAAAGGCTTATCAATTTTGCTTATCTTTTCAAAGAACCAGCTCCTGGATTTGTTGATCTTTCAAATTGTTCTTTTAGTCTCTATTTCATTCAATTCTGCTCTGATCTTGATCATTTCCTTCCTTCTACTTGCTCTTGGCTGTCTTCGTTTTTGTTTCTCCAGTTCTTGACAATGTAGAGTTAGGTTGTTTCTTTGAAATGTTTCTATGTCTTTTAGGTAGGCCTGTATTGCTATGAAGTTCCCTCTCAGAACTGCCTTGGCTGTGTCGCATAGGTTTTGGACTGCTGTGTGTTCTCTTTCATTTGTTTCCGGAAACTTTTTGATTTCTTCATTGATCTCATTATTGACCTATTCATTGTATAAGAGCATGCTATTCAGTCTCCATGAGTTTGAATGTTTTTTAGTTTTTTCCTTGACATTGGTTTCTAGTCAAGCCCTTGTGGTCTGAGAAAATGTTTGTTATGATTTCAATTTTCTTGAATTTGTTAAGGTTTGTTCTGTGTCCTATCATGTGGCCTATCTTTGAAAATGTTCCATGTGCATTTGAAAAATATGTGCATTTTTCCTCCTTGTGATGAAAGGTTCTATATATATCAGTGTAATCCATTTGCTCTAATGTGTCATTCAGTTCCACAATATCCTTTTTGATATTTTGTTTGGAAGATCTACCCATTGTTGACAGTGGGGTGTTAAAATCCCCTACTCTCAGTGTGTTACTGTCTATATCTTTCTTGAAGTCCTCCAAGATTTTCCTTATATATTTGGGTCTCCTATGTTGGGTGCATATAGGTTTACAATGTTTATGTCTTCTTGATGGATTCTTCCTTTGAGTACTAGAAGTATCCTCCTGGGCCTATTTTTTACAGACTGTTTTGAAACCTGTTTTGTCTGATATAAGCATTGCTACCCTGGCTTTCTTCCTGTTGATTTTCTTGGAATATTTTTTCCATCCCTTTACTTTCAGTCTGTGTAGGTCCTTTGTGCTGAGGTGGGTTTCTTTTAGGCAATATATATATGGGTCATGTTCTCTTATTCATTTATCTACCCTATGTCTTTTGATTGGAGCATTTAGTCCCTTTACATTTAAAGTTATTATTGATAGATACTTATTCATTTTTTCCCTTTTTACCTGTACTCCTCTCTCTTTCACTCTTTTTCTTCATCTTCTTAAAGCAGTCCCTTTAGTATATCTTGCAGTGCTGGTTTGGTGGAAGTGTATTTTTTTTAGCCTTCCTTTGTCTAGGAAACTCCTTATTTTGCCCTCCATTTTAATTGAGAGCCTTGCTGGGTAGAGCAGTCTTGGTTGCAGGCCTTTGCTTTTCATTATGTGGAATATTTCTTGCCATTCCCTTCTGGCTTGCAGTGTTTCTGTTGAGAAGTCAGATGCTAACCATACTGGGGTTCCCTTGTATGTTATTATGTTTCTCCCTTGCTGTCTTTAGGATTCACTGTTTGTCTTTGATATTTGCCATTTTAATGATGATGTGTCTTGGAGTGGGCCTCATTGGGTCCTCTTGAATGGGATTCTCTCTTCTTCCTGGACTTGTGTGACTTTCTCTCCTCCAATTAGGGAAGTTTTCCATCATTACTTTTTCAATCATGTTCTCTATCCCTTGCTCCTCTTTTCCTTCTGGTATCCCTATTATATGGATATTTTTATGTTTCAGGTTGTCCTGCGTTTCCCTCAATGCCTCTTCATTCTTTTTGAGTCTTTTTTCATTTTCTTGCTCTTTCTGGGAGCTTTTTTTAACCTGTCCTCCAACTCACTGATTCGGTCCTCAGCTTCATCTAGCCTGCTTTTAATTTCTTCCTCTGTGCTCTTTAATTCAGAAATTGTATTCTTCATTTCTTCTTGCCTCTTATTGATAGGTTTCTATGTCCTTTTTCATGCAGTAAGTTTCTTGTAGTTTCCCTGTAGTTTTTGGTAATTCTCTCTGAGCTCACTGAGATCATTGAGCTTCCTTGTGACCATTGTTTGGAACTCTATATCTGATAATTTACTTGCCTCTACTTCATTAGTTCTCTTTCTGGGAATTCCTCCTTTCCCCTTGATTGGTGGGTGTTTCTTCATCTTCCCATTATTGTGACAGTCTTCTTTATTTTGCTTCTGCTTCTTAAATTGATGTAGCTTGACTTCCTGACTTTGTGGTGTGAACTTCTATGGAAGGAGACGGCTGTTTTTTCTTTCTGAGTCTGCCTCTGATGATGCTATATGTTGGCCCTGTCTGACCTTAGACAGACTGTTCCAGACTTCCAGGACTCTACTGTTTGTGGTTGTCTCCTTCAGTTGTTAATCTAGTCATTCTGCCCTCAGCAGTCAGGCCTAAGCACCACAGGGCCAGGGAAGAGCCTTCTAGGGGAGGGGCTATTGTGTCCTTTCACATTGCTGCTGCTGAGGGGCGTGGTCTCTGCCTGAGCAAGATGGCTGCTGCCATCTGGGGAATAAGTCAGCACTGGGATCCTGCCAGCTACTCTCTCAGTTCTCTCCCCAAAGCCTCCTTCCTCAGTCATTCCTCAGGCATATCTAGCCTACTCTGACCCTGCCTTTGCTGGAGTCCAGGGTAAGTGGCTGCAAACAAAAATTATGAGCTGGTCCTTTAAAAGGCCGTTTGCATCACCTGCTGCTGATCTCTAGTCAAGAGCAACCCTGCCACTCACTTTTTGCAGCTGGCTGTTTTCTGTGTACTTTTAGGGCTCCGGTGCTGTAGGCTGGAGATCTCCATTTATGTTTTAGACCCTACTCTTCTCAGGAGGATCCAACTGGCCATTTAAGTATATCTCTGACGCTGGTGCCCATGGGCACCCTGCCTGCCTTCTTGAGTCTTCACTGTACTCCTTACCATTCAGATTGTGCCAAAGCTGATTCCTCTGTCTGTCTGAGGTTACAAGGCTCCTCTCTCAATATTGTTCGGTTGTTTGTTCCAGGTGATTTCTTCACAATTTAGCTATAATTCTAGATTGGTCCTGGGAGGAGGTCAGTGTGACTTCCATTTACTCCCTAGAACATTTCAAAACTTTATATGGAAGCATAAACAACCCCAAATAACCGCAGCAATTTTGAGAAATAAGAACAAAGTAGGATTCACAATACCTGACATTAAACTATATTACTAGGCCACTGTAATCAAAACAGTCTGGCATTGACATAAGAACAGATACATAGATCAATGGAACAGAATAGAGAGCCCAGAAATAAATCCATGTCTCTATGGTCAATTAATATTTGCCAAGGGGACAGGAGCATAAAATGGAGTAAAAATAGCCTCTTCAACAAATGGTGTTGGGAGAGCTAGACAGCTACACGCAAGAAAAAAAAAAAAAGAAAGAAAGAAAATTACCACCAATGTACACCATACACTTAAATAAGCTCAAGATTGATAAAAGACTTAAATATAAGTTGTGATACCATAAAAGTCCTAGAGTAGAACATAGCCAGGAAAATCTCAGATAGCCAATGCAGCAATATTTTTACCAATATGTCCCCCAGAGCAAGGGACATAAAAGAAAGAATAAAGAATGGTACATCAAATTAAAAAGCTCATGAAAGGTTAAGAAAAAAAATCAGCAAAATGAGAAGGGAACTACCCATATATGAAAATATATTTGCCAATGATACCTCAGACAAGGGTTTGAGCTCCAAAATACATAAAGAACTCACACAACTCCACACCAGGAAGACAAACAATCCAATTAAAAAATGGGCAAAGGATCTGAACAGATACTTCTCCAAGGAGAACAGAGAGCCCAGAGACATATGAAAGGATGCTCAGCATCACTAACCCTCAGAGAGATGTAAATCAAAAGCACAATGAGATACCATTTCACACCAGTAAAAGTGGCTATCATAAAAAAAATCAACAAAAAATGAGTGTTGTCAAGGATGTGGAGAAAAGGGAACTCTAGTACACTGTTGATGGGAATGCATACTGATGCAGTCACTGTGGAAAACAGTTCAGAATTTCCTCAAAAAACTACAAAAGGAACTGCCTTTTGACCCAGCAATTCCACTGCTGGGAGGGATTATATACTAAGAATTCTGAAACACCAATTCAAAAGAGGCTACGCACCCCAATGTTTATAGCAGTGTAATTTATAGTAGTCAAGTACTCGAAACAGCCTAAGTGCCCATCAGTAAATGAGTGCATCAGGAAACTGTGGTACATTTACACAATGGAACACTACACAGCAGAAAGAAAGATGGAGCTCTTACCTTTCACGACAGAATGGATGGAACTGGAGAGTATTATGCTAAGTGAAATAATCCAGGTGGTTAAAGGCAAATAACCATATGATCTCACCTAGAAGTGGAACTTAAACAACAAAACAAATAAGTGAGAAATATAGAACCAGAGACACCGAAATAAAGAAAAATTGACAATAAGTGGAGGAGAGGGAGGCAGGGGATAATGGGTTAAAAGAGGAAAGGGTAAGTCAAGGAACATGTATGAAGGATCCATGGACAAAAAAAACAGGCAGTAGGGATTGAGTGTGGAGGTTGGGGTGGGTGGGGCACGGGAGGATGGTGAAGAGAAAACGGGAACAACTGTAATTCAACAGAAACAATAAAAAAAAGAAAAAAGGAAGTAATTAAAAGAAAATAATCAGTAAAATGTAACAAGAAAATTAAAAATAGGACTACCATATGACCCAGCAATTCTTCTGGTTATTTAACTGAAGAAATCCAAAAAACTAATTCAAAAAGATATATATCCCTGCTATGTTCTTTGCAGCATTATTAACAACAGCCAAACTATCAAAGTCATCTAGTGTCCATAAATACACAAATGCATAAAAAAGAGTTGGTATATATATGATGGAATATTACTTGGCCATGAAAATAATAAAATTTTGCCATTTGCAACAGCATGAATGGACCAAGAGGGTATTAGAGAAAGACAGATATCATACAACTTCACTTATATGTGGAATCTGAAAAACAAAACAAACAAACACAATAGAAACAAACTCATAGATACAAAGAACAAACTGATGGTCACCAGATAGAAGGGGACTAAGACTGGGTGGAAAAGGTAAAAGGGATTAAGTACAAATTGCCAGTTATAGAAACAGTCCCATGGATGTGAAGTACAGCATAGGGACTATAGTGAATAAAATTATAATAACCATGTATGGTGTCAGATTGGTAATATATTTGGGTGATCACTTTGTAAGTTATATAAATGTTTAACCACTATGTTGTATGCCTGAAACTAACATAACACTGTATGTGAATAGCAATTGGAAAATAAATTAATTAAAAAATAAAACATCTTGATCCAGTCTATAAAATCTGAAGTTAACTTCCAAAAACACATATAATCTACCAAATATTGGATTTTCTAACAGCTGGCCAAAGAAAATCTTTTTTTGTGAATTTCATAGGACATTCTGCAATACTGTTTAGGCAAATTTTTAGTCATATCATTGGTATTTTGGTCACATGGAGGATAAAAATGAGAAAGAACAAGAGTTCAAAAAATACTTAGAACTCTGTTTGAAAATAAAATTTTAATCTCAAATGAGCTTAATCGTATATAAGTAACATGACATTTATTTGCAAGATATACATAATTAAAAGAAGGAATCAAGAAAACATATCCATCTCCCTTCATCTTCAACTTTCTAGTTGAAAACAGTAAAAAGGTAAAGAGTCTATGGCTTTGGAGATTTCACATTCCAGTTTGTAGGAGAACGATTGAGCCATGGCATCCTGGCAACCGTGCATTACAACACAAAGGCCACATGTGCAAGCCTTAACTGCAGTGGATATTAAGTCTTGGCACAAAGTTCTATGATATTCCCATAAGCACACAGAGGTTTAGCAAGTGCCACTACAAGAACATTTCTCACTTGCCTCCCTATTCCCCTGCAAAGCTGTCACCAGAAAGTTTCTGATGAGATCTCAGGCTTGTTACCTAGCCCCCTTCAGGGTAGAGTTAGGGGCTATAAAACTACTTAATTGCAGCATGAAACTGACTGTCAGCAACAGCATGTTCTAGTGTGCATGTTGCTGTCATCTGGCCCCTTTTGTTTTGGTGTTGCCCTGCACAAGGACATTGGTCCTAGCCTATTATTACTTTGCTTTCATTGTTTATGTAAATAAAGAACTCTTCAAGTTAAAAAAACAAAACAAAACAAAAAAACCCCCCTGTGCGCTGGCTGGTGTTGCTCAGTGGATTGAGCATTGTGTGGCCAAAGGGTTGCTGGTTCAATTCCCAGTCAGCGCCCTGGGCCCAGTCATGCCTGGGTTGCAGGCAAGGTCCCCAGTAGGGGGCGCATGATAGGTGACTACACATTAATGTTTCTCTCCCTCTCTTTCTCCCTCCCTTCCCCTCTAAAAATAAATAAATAAAATTAAAATAAAACCCTGAATCATAAATAACTGGAAAATTTAAATATACCAATCAACAGTGAAGAAAATAAAATAACCATCAAAAACTTCCCAAGAAGCAAAAGTCCAGGACCATATGGCTTTACCAGTCGATTATACAAAACAGTCAAAGAAGATTTGATACCTATCCTTCTCAAACTCTTCCAAAAAAAAAAAAAAACACTGAAGAAGAGGCAATACTTCATAACACATTTTATGAGGCCAACATAACCCTGATACTAAAACCCAGCAAGGATAATACATTTAAAAAAAAAAAACCTATGGGCCAATATATCTGATAAATACAGGTGTAAAAATCATAAACAATATACTAGCAAATTGAATACAACAATACATTAATAAAATAATACATCACAATAGACTGGGATTCATTCCAGGGAAACAAGGATGATTCAATATATGTAAATTGATCAACATAATATACCACATAAACAAAATAAAGGCTACAAATCTTATGTTCTTATCAACAGATGCAGGAAAAGCACTTGATAAGATACAACATCCACTTATGAATAAAAAGCTCAATAAAATGGGAATAGAAGGAAGTACCTCCGCATAATGAAGGCCATATATGACAAACCTTCGGCTAATACTATACACAATGTTGACAAACTGAATGCTTTTCCTCTAAGGTCAGAAACAAGACAAAGATGTCCACTCTCACTGCTCATACTCAACATAGTACTGAGTCCTAGCCAGAGCAATCAGGCAAGAGAAATAAAAGGCATAGATATTGGGGGTGAGAAGTAAAAGTATCAGTTTTTGCAGAGAACATGATTTTTTTTTTAAGTACATAATTTTTTTTATTTTAATTTATTTTTTCAAGTACATTTGTCTCTGCCTATAGAAAACCCTAAAGAGTTCATTAAAAAAACTTGTAAAAACAATTAGCAAATACAGTAATGTTGCAGGTTACAGAATCAATGTACAAAAATCCATTGTATTCCTGTATATTAATGATGAAATTTCAGGAAAAAATGGAAAAACCATTGCTTTTGCAATTGTAATAAAAAGAATAAAATACCTAAGAATAAACTTAACAAAAGATGTGAAAGACCTGTATACTAAAAACTATGAAGGATTATTAAAAGAGATTGAAAAAACACAATGAACTAGAAAGATATCCTGTGTTCATGGATTGAAAGAATCAGCATAATTAAAACATCCATATTACTCAAAGCAATATACAGATTTAATGCTATCCTCATCAAAACCCAATGTCATTTTTCTTTTTTTATTATTGTTCAATTACGGTTGTCCCCATTTCCCCCCCATTAGTCTACGCTGCCCTACATCATGAATATGTCTCCTAGAGCAAGAGACATAAAGGAAAAAATAAACAAATGGGACTACATCAAATTAATAAGCTTCTGCATGGCTACAGAAAACACCAGCAAAATGAAAAGGGAACCAACCATATGGGAAAATATATTTGCCAATGATACCTTGGACAAGGGTTTGATCTCAAAATATATAAAGAACTCACATGAGTCCACACCAGGGAGACAAAATAATCCAATTAAAAAATGGGCAAAGGACCTGAAAACCCAATGGCATTTTTCACAGAAATAGAATGACAACAACAAAACCCCATCAGATTTGTATGGAGCCACAGAAGACCCCAAATAGCCAAAGAAATCCTTAGTGAAAAAGAGCAAAGCCAGAGGTATCATACTCCCTGACTTCAAATTTTACCCCAAGGTTACAGTATTCAAAACAGCATGATATTGGCAGAAAAACAGACACAAGAGATCAATGGAAAAGAATTGAAAGCCCAGAAATAAACCCATATATATATGGGCAAGTAATTTTTTAAAAAGGAGCTAAAAACATACAATGGAGAAATGTGATACTCTTCAAAAAATGGTGCTGTGAAAATTGGAAAGACACATGCAAAAGAATGAAACTCAACTACAGTTTGTTCCCATATATAAGAATTAACTCAAAATGGATCAAAGGTTGAAAAAATAAACAACAAAGAAAACATAGGCACTAAACTTATGAACTTTGGTCTTATAGAGGATTTTATGAATTTCACCTGAAAGAAAGGGACATAAAGGCAAAAAGAAATCTATGGTACTAAATTAAACTACAAAGCTTCTCACAGCAAAAGAAACTGCTAACAAAACAAAAAGGCCACTAACCAAATGGGAGAAGGTACTTGCAAACAACAGCTCTGACAGGGGTTAATACCCAAAATATATTAAAAAAAACCTCATACAACTCAACACCAAACAAACAATCCAATTAAAAAATGGGCAGACAACCTGAATAGATCCTTATCTTAAGAAGACATAGAAACGGCCAATAGATATATGAAAAAATGCTCTACTTCACTAGATATTAGAGAAATGCAAATTGAAACTACAATGAAGTACTACCTCACACCTGTCAGAATCGCTATTATCAACTAGACTGGTAATAACAAGTGTTGGAGAGGTTGTGGAAAAAAAACCTTCACTGCTGGTGGGAATGTCATCCACTATGAAAAACATTATGGTGGTTCCCCAAACAATTAAAAATGAGTTACTATATGATCTAGCAACTCCTCTCTAAGATATCTACCCCACAATATTTGAAAACATTTATTCACAAAAATATATGTACCCCTATGTTCACTGCAGCAATATTTATAGTGGCCGCAGCTGGAAACAACCAAAGTGTCCTTTGACAGGTGATTGGATAAAGACGTGGTACACAACACAATGGAATACTACTCAGCCATAAGAAAAGATGAAATAGTGCCATTTCGGACAACATGGATGGATCCAGAGAATATCATGCTAAACAAAATATGTCAGACAGAGGTTAAGAACCATATGATTTCACTCATATGTAGGATATAAAACTGAAAGCAACAAATAAGAAAACAAGCAAAAGCTCATAGACACAGAAAACATTATGGTAGGTACCATATGAAAGGGAGGTGGGGGCAGAAGTAAACGGTAAATGGCGTAAAATATATGACAGAAGATAATTTGACTTTGGGTGGTGGGCACACTATGCAATACACAGATCATGTGTCCTAAAAATGTACACTTGAAACCTATACAATCTTATTAACCAATGTCACCCCAATAAAATTAATTTAAAAAATAAAAATCTAAACAAAAACCAGAATGAAACATTAGCCCCTCCTTCTTTGCTGTTGCTGAGATGAATCTACTAATGAAAAACACTGTGCTTTGCTTATGATCACAATCACACGTTAAAAACCATGGATGTACTACTGTTTTCACAAGCCTATTACTTGACCACTAAAGATTATAGTTTTGAAGTGGTATCATCAATGGCATGTTTAGATGTTTTCTTTTTTCTTTTTTTCTTTCTTTTTTTTTTTTTGCAAAACTGTACTTCAGCAATCACCAACAAGCATCTACTTCCATTGATCTTCCCAGAGTATACTGGAAAATTTCAGCCTTACTGTCAGCATAACCATTGTGAAAAACAGCATATGTGATCCCATTTTGCCTTTGTTTTTGAAGTTCTGAACACCATTCAGAGTGTTTTCTGTTTTGTACTACAGTTCCTTGGTTCTCAAAGAACTGTATTCAGCTGATTTTATGGACGGAACTGATTTTGGACCAACACACGGACACACACACACACACACACACACACACACACACACACAATCTGTACTTTAAACTTTCAAAAATGAAAACCTTCAGCAGAACTTAACACATTGAAGCTTAAAATATATTGACCCTGAAATATCAAGAGGAAACACCAACATCACTGTTCATCATGAAATACTTTAAACAAAACTGCCAAAATCCAGCCACAGACTCATGTTAAAAATTCATTTTATGGTCAGTTGTTTGGGGACCAGATTTATGAGTGCTATTTCGAGAAAAAAAGTGAAATATCCAGAACTATTGTGGTGATGTGTTCTTGACCTTGTTCTTAAAACCAGCCTGTGGTAGCTTTGGGAAGAATGTGTTTCACATTGATGTTCAGTCCTCACTGGAAGAATTTCAAGAGGATTTTGTGGACTCAAAGTCTGATTGTTTTGACTAGAAACTTCCAGATAAATATTCTAGAAAAATTTGGGTGTAAAGTGTCTAAACAAATGAAAAGACTTCATTCCATTCATTATTCCATTTTCTACTTAAATTTTTTTGGTGTTATATCTAAAAGAATTGTAACCTCGAAATAAAGCTCTTTCTGTGTTGCCATCTGAGCCACCAAGTTTGGGGCTGTTTTCATTTTTTGAAAAATTTGAAAGTATATATTTGTACAGATAAGCTAACCAAATTGATGCCTAATTTACTTTCAGAAAATGAGAAAGAAAAATACATATATGGACCTTTCATTGAGCTGTTATTTAGATTTGTAATTGTAAATCAAAGTTATATATAGCCAAATCTTTCACTGACTTTCAGGGCCAGCTTTTGGTCATGCCAAGATCACCTCGTAGTCACCACACTTTTGCTCACTGACTCGAATTCAAACATTCATACTTTTATTCTAATATAAATAGATATTAACATTTTCCTGTTCTTTTAATCTATCAAATTTAATTTAAAAATGTAACCATTTGTGAGTCAGAAATTTGAGAAGGTCTCAGCTGAGCAGTTATTGCTTAGGGTATGTCACATGGTTCCAGTTGGAACCCAGTGGACTCCAGTCATCTGTAAACTTGACTGGATGTCCAAGATGGCTCAGTTGGATGATCGCTAGGAGCTTAGTTTGGCCATTGACCAGGGTGCCTACATATGGACTCTAGCATTATGATTTCAGTATGGTTGGACTTCTTTCATGGAAGCAGCATTCCTGAGTTAAAGTTAAAAATCTTATCTGTTCCCCCTTTAATTTTCCTTTCTTCGGTATGAATTGTTTGGTGTTGTATAAGGAGTGAGATATGGCTAAATAATACAATAATTCTATTTGAATAGTTCCCATCTAATGTGAATTTGATGGTGTTAAGATTTAAGCTATGGCTAACTTTTCCATATTCATCATTTTTATATGATCAGTAGATACGGGCCACAGGTAAAGGTTATCTCCCACACCCTTTATTTTATTCATAGGGTTTGTCTCAAGTTAGAATTCTCTAATTGTAAAAACCCTTCCTTGAGCTAGGAAGTTGCTAGGTTCTTCCCTTTCTGTAGTATAACTTTCTGATTTCACATAAGGCATTACTGTGGCTAAAGGTATTCTCACATTTATTACATTTGTCTGGTGTTAGGTATATTAAGATTTGGGCTGTGGCTAAAGCCTCCATACATGTATTACATTCAGATTTCCAGTTTTAACAACGCTCATAGAGTTTCCCTCTACCTTGAATTTTCTGGTTTGAACCATCACCATACTGATAATATTCGGTAGTTTATCTTCAGAATAAATTATTTCATACTGTGAAAGTTCTGAGTTGTTTGGTAGTATCTACCAAAGCCAACCAAACACAGATATGCCTCAGGACCCAGAAAATCCACTCCTCAGTATATACACAAGGGAAATAATTATATGTATACCAAAAGACAAATATATTCAATGAAGCATTATTTATTATGACCCTAAGCTGTAAACAAAGAAAAAGTCCCCCCAAAATAGATGGATAAATGGTGATATATTCATATGAGATTCTACCCAGAATATGTAAATTTCTGCCAAATGCACTAATGATGAATTTTAGAGACATAATGATGAAACAAGCCAAATGTAAAAAAATATTAGTACATGGTATATAATCCAGTTTATATAAAAGTTTATAATATGCAAAAACTAATTTATAATGTTACAAGTTAGAACTGTGGTTAACTCTGAGGAGGTAACAACTAATTTTTATTCCATATTGGCAATGAAAAATACAGTTCACAACTACTTTTTAAAAGTCTTTTGTGGTTCATATACCAACTGTGTATTACTGGTTCACAACCAGGTAGGTATTGAAATTGAAAACAAGCAATTTTAAATGTGGGTAGTAACTTGACAGAGAAAGCTTATGTCTCATGAATCTAATAAAAAATTGGAACTTGTATTTTCAATGACTTTTGTCATTTAATTTGTCTAGTAATTCTTTCTGTATGTGTGTGTTTTATAGTAAACAGTAAGTAAATATGTTCATAGTGCCTTAAACTGTTGAATATTACACTTGCAAGCAACATCACATACATGGTTTACTGTAACTTTAAAAGTTTTTACAAAATAAAATCACATCCTTTACTATATGTCCATGGTTTCTACCTTATGAGTTTTCTGATGGACAATGAGGTTTGACTTACAACTGAAGAACTTCCCACATTCTTTACATTCATACGGTCTCTCTCCTGTGTGAGTTTTCTGATGGCGAATGAGGTTTGATTTCCTACTAAAGGCTTTCCCACACTGAGGACATCCATTGGCTTTCTCTCCTGTATGTATTCTCTGATGAACAGTGAGGATTGCCTTCTGGCGAAAGGACTTTCCACATTCATTACAAATATAGGGTTTTTCCCCTGTATGAATTCTTTGATGGAGAGTAAGGGTTGTCTTTTGGCAGAAGGATTTTCCACATTCATTACAAATATAAGGTTTCTCTCCTGTGTGAGTTCTTTGGTGTACAGTGAGGGTTGTCTTCTGGATAAATGCCTTCCCACATTCATTACATTGGTATGGTTTCTCTCCTGTGTGAGTTCTCTGATGATCGATGAGGTATGACTTCTTTCTAAAAGCACTTCCACACTGAGTACATTCATAGGCTTTCTCCCCTGTATGTATTTTGTAATGTCTAGTGAGGGTTGCCTTCTGGCGGAAGGACTTCCCACAATCCATACAAATGAAGGGTTTCCCCTCTATATGTGTTTTCTCGTGAAGAGTGAGGGCTGTCTTTTGACGGAAGGCTTTTCCACATTGATTGCAAACGTAAGGTTTCTCACCTGTGTGAATTCGCTGATGTTCAATGAGATACGACTTCCTCCTAAAGCTATTCCCACAGTAAGGACAATGAAAGGGTTTCTCTTCATTTTGAGATCTCTGATGTATAATAAAAATGGACTTCCTGCAAAGGAATTTCCCATATTTGTTATATGCATGGGACTTCTTCTCCATAAGATTTTGTGGATGGACACTGGGATTTGACTTTTTGATGACAGGCATTACATTTTTATTGTATTCAAATAGTCTTTCTTCTCTATGAGTTCTAGTATGTGTAAATAACATTCCTTTCATAAGGAAGGAATTTTCACACTCATTTTGTTCAAATGGTTGCTCTGCAGTTTGAGCCTTCTGATGCTGAGTAAGTTCTTGTTCATTACTCAGACTCCTGTCTGTTTGTTTATAGAGCTTCATTGCAGTATGAATTTTCTCATGCTTAGTATTGAGGAGTGATTTCTCCCATCCATTACTCTCACCAAACTTATCTCTTACAGGGCTTATATTTCTAATGATTAGTTCTGAAATATTTTTCAAAACCTTTCCATCAGGTTTATATTCATGTAGTGTTGTTTTTGAAATAATATAGTTCTTGCCTACAGTAAGTGTTTTCCCCAAAATATTACTTCTTTCCTTAATTAGTCTTTTGTGGTTGATGAATATAACTGATCTAAAATGCCTATCTTGGTATTCTTTAAACTTCATTAGAACATCTTCAGCTTTGCCATCTTCTTCTAGAAAAGAATACAATAAACAACACTGTAAGACTTCACATAAATGTTATGAATTAGATATATACATACAAATAACCCATTGTGGGATGGCCTGTCTCACTATTGTGATCTATAGAAAGGCCAAAATAAATTACCTCTTGGTAGGGAAAAAATGCATAGAATATAAATACAAATCCTGCTATATTGTTAAAATGAGGAAACATTGGCATAACCAAAAAACACTCATATCTTTGGCATGTTGAATTATAAGCTACATTGGGCAGGTATAATAAACACAAAGACACGTAAGCAAAGGATGGTGAAAGTGGCATTATTCTTAGAATGGGCAAGTTCAGAGAAAATGGAGTGAGCCTATCAAGAACACTAACCAGTAAGCGAGGAAAACTGTTCAGGTGGAAATGAAAGCCTATATATTTATTTCCTCATGCCTAAGTTTTATCAAATACTTCCATTTGTTTCTTCATTTGCATTTAGCCCACCTGTGGCAAATGAACTTTATTAAGCACTCATTTCATAGTTTTGAAAGAAGCAGTAGCTTGTAGTCTAAGCCCTAGCTCTCCATCTAACCGATATGTATTCTCTTGAAAAGGAAGAATTAGGAAAATATTTTCATTAGTAATTATAAAAATAAACCAGAGGACAAAGCATACTTGCAACATGAACATAATCAGTGACTGCTGCTACATCAATTTCCTCTTCCAGAGGGGTGGTCTATAACTAAATTCTCCTGTCAATTGTAATTTTTTTTCCATTCAATTTGCTGAATTACTTTTTCGCTATTAGAAAAAGATGGGTTCAAGTTTTCCTGCCTTAAACTCTACTATTCCCTATGGGGACTGTGAAGGACTGGATTCTTCAATATATGTGTATAGCACTGATTGACCTTAGCTATTACTTTTCTTACAAATTCTTGGCTAAATCTTACTTACTATGACCCATAACTGGTAGAGCAATTTTAAAGATGGGTTCATCTTAACCATAACTTGCACCTTATTTACAATATCCCTAAGCAAGAAACAGCCCAATTATCCATCAAAACATAAAGAGGTAATATTGTGTCATGTAATTACACAATGTAATTACTAAGCAATGTATTACTCAGCAATAAAAAAATGAAAAAAACCTACTGATGACAAAAGAGATGAAGCTAAAACATTTTTCAGAGTGAAAGCTTTATGCAAGAGTATTGCACAATTCCATTTATGTGTACTTCTAGAACATGCAGAACTAATCTGTATTGGTAACTGGAGTTACATTGCCTTCCTAAGAACTTCAGTCACCTTCAGGGACATGCTACTACCCAATTTATCTAAGCTTTCACATATTCTTTCTCTCCTTCAATGTCTAATTTGTCCAAAATTAGAATATAATTATAGTCTGGACTAACCATTTCAAGAAATCTTTCAACACCCTGCTATTTTAACATGAACACTCTATACAAAATGCTAAATTTGAAAATATAGCCTCCCAACTCTAACTTATGCTCTCAAAAGTCAATATTTTATTATCTTCTTTGAAACCCTCTGAGTATACATTAACACACTGTTACATGAAGTAAAGGGATTGATCTTGGCATGAATATCTAAAAAGAACTTACCATTAAATGATTTCTGAATGGATGAGAAAGATGTTTTCCCTGCACAGTACCATGGATAATCAATCAAGTAACTACTATATCTATCCTTTGTTACAGTCTACAGTATGGAAGAGTAAAAGAGAGGACCTTATTTTGAGGGAACTGTTAATCAGATGAGGAAATAAGCCTCAGATAAAAACAATGTTGAATCATGTACCAAACTATTAGATCATATCAGAGGATGTGACTATTTGCATGTTACAGACAATCAGTGGAATGTGAGTGCAAGAAAAAAGGAACTAACATGGTTTGGAGTAGTCAAGGCACATTTCATGCAGGAAGTGAAACCTGATCTTTTAACTAAAGGATATGTAGCATTGTGTGGTAAAAAATAGAACCTTGTCCAATAAGAAGTTTGACATTTGCCTTTGGCTTCTGGAAGGTAATATCTGAGTCCACAGAATGTCATGCTAAACAGGAGTATATTTCTTTGTTTGGAACCCTGTGGCCAGCTAGAAAGTAACAGTGTGATTTAGGGTGGGGTCTTTGAGCCACACTAACAATGTGATAGAGGACAGGGTTTTTGGGTCACACAGTGTCAGCTTGACCTCTTAAAGGGCTGAAAACGGAGATCAGCCATATGGATAATCAGTCAAGCCTATGTGATGGAGCCCGATATAAGTTTTTGATACTAGGCTCAGGTGAAGCTTCCCTTGTTAGCGATATTCTGTAATGCTGTCCAAAACTCCACAGAGAGAGGATTTCTAGAAGCTCCATGTTTGGTACTTTCCTGGACTCTGCCCTATGTGCTTGGCTTCGTTTTAATCCATATTCTTCCTTTGTAACAAACTATAACCGTGAGTGTTACAGCTTTCAATAAATTCTGTGAGTCCTAGCAAATTATTGACACTAACAGTAGTATTGGGGGCCCTTGAACTTATAATTTGTGTCAGAAATGAGGGTGGTCTTGTGTGTACTACTGTACCCTTAAATTTTGTAGTTGGCCAACTTTGCAAGTATCCATATGGGCGCAGAGCAGCTGTCACATAATGAAAGGCCCAGTGGTAAAGAATAAAAATCAATTGCAGGGAGTACATTTGGGAGACCAGAAAAAATAGAGCTTAGTGAAAGTTCTCAGTTACAGAGAAAAATACATTTGGAATGATCAGATGGGATATTATTCTGTCAGCCCTTGGAAAAAGAAAAGGATTTAAATTTTTTATGTGATACTGTTTCAGCATATTGACAATATGAAAAACTGAAGGAACTACAAAAATCATGAAAATCCAAATACTAACTACAGCAGTCCATGCCTGGAACAATATAGCTTTCATTTTGGAAGATGTCAGTGGCAAATGAAAATATGAATCTGTAAAATATTCACAGAGTAAAATAACATAACACAAACTGTACAGAGATCATTAAGAAAGTATAACAGAGATGATGGAATCAACCTTCTACTACAAGGGGCTGATAACGGAGACAAAATGATGCTTGATGAAAGAAGGTGAAGGATTAGCCAAAGGACATATATGCATATCCCACAGACACAGGCAACAGTGTGGTGATGGCCAGAGGGAAGGGGGAGTTGGGATGCGGGGGCAGGTGTGCAAAGGTGGGGGGAATGAAGACATTTGTAACAGTGTAAACAACAAAAAGTAAAAAAAAACAAAACCAAAAAACAAATGAGAGTAAGATAATGACAATTACTTCTGATATATAAATAACCAAAAGGATGAGGCAACTGATTGCTGTATTGCTGTAGGCAGATTAAAATATTCCACTAGAGTTCAGGTGGGAGAAATGGGCCAAAAAATGTCTACTTGAAAACCATTTATGCTTAAGAATGGATAAAATTATTATAGCTTACACAGTTTTTATAGTGACAAGAACTGAGGATAAAGAAAGATCCTTTATACCAAAGAGAGCCTTTGGAAATAAAATCCATTTATTCAACAAATATTTATTTTTCCAGGCAATGCAAATAAAGGAAGGAAAAGCAACCAACATCTGAATGGGCACTCAAGGAAACAGAACGTGAATGAGTTAGTACTTTTCACCCAAATCAAGGTACACAAATAGGTATTAGGAATCTGAGCATTATGATATGACATGTGGAAATTTATTGGAAAAATAGTGATACTGATATTATTACTTTGGTCCAAGACCTATGGATTTTGAAATCTGAGGACAACTGTAATTGCACAATAAATGAAAAAGGGAAAAAAAAAGAAATCTGATGGCAGGTCTCATGGTGAGAATGGAAAGTGAGACTGAGTGCAGAAAGCAAGTATAAGGTATTGTACAGGAAAAGGAAGGAAAAAATGAAGAATAAGAGAAAGATAAATATTAGACAATGATTCTCTTTTTATCTTTTAGATATATTTAAGAATGTCTATAAACAGGAGACTACAACAAAAGAAAAAATAAGACTGAAATGTTAAAGAAGGAGATATAAAACAAGAAAGACCAAAACCACCAAAGTGTCATTCATGAACTTTGTACTATCTGAGACTTTTATGGGAGGTCCACAAAATCAAAACTAGTTTTGTTAATAATAACAACACTTCAATTGTCTTTTTAACTATGTTCACATTTGCACTAATGTGTAGTCAAGGGTGCAAGGGTATTTGCACATTTGCACAATAGTAAATGTCTCATTTGTATCCAGGAAGTTTTAATTTATGGCAGGTGACTGAGTGGTGACACCGAGGCTAATGCCATTAGAAGGAA